TGTGGTACTCGAAATCAGTCTTGGTCTCAAGACTGGTCTTGAGTCGACTTTTTGAAGGTCTCAGTCTTGTCTGGGAATCAAAAGCATTTTAAAATCGGTCTTGTCTCAGTCTCAGACTGGACAAACTCCAGATTCTTTATCAAGACCAGTCAAGATCTCTCTCAGGCTATTTTTCCACGTCATTAGTGAGATTAGAAGGAAAACGCCCCTTTGTAATAGAAGACTAACTACAATTCATTCATCATGTGGTTACGTTTGCAACCTTCCCGGTGTTACTGTCTATAAGTGAGTGACATGCCCTCTGTACACAAGATGATAATTTTTCAGTGATATTTAACATCACTGAAATGTCTCTGTCTCGGAGCGCTCTGGTCTCGGAGCGCTCTGGTCTCGGGTATGTCTTGGTCTCGGTTATTGTGGTCTTAACTACAACACTAATGTTTAGTTAGGACTGTTCATTTCTTACCTGAAGGGCACAGGTCATGTCCGTTGGGGACCTCCTGCAGGGGTATGTCCTGGATGTAAAGGGGCTGTGATGGGTAACACTGCTGCTGAGGGTGAACCACAGCAGGAAACTGGGTGTGAGGACCTGCTGCCACCCCTCCACTCTGTCTCTGAACACAAAATAAAGAGCGTAAAGTTAGTCACAAAGCACTTTTAAAAGCTGCCTCATGTTTAGTTGCTTTTCTTCTGCTTTATTGTATCTTTGTAGAGGTCCTTTTCAAAATCTAGTTTAGATCAACACAAATGTACAAATAGTGTTGTGACATTCCCGACCAACCCGATTCTATTGAACAGCTCTTTAGGATGAATGAAGGGATCTGAGTCAGGTTTGGGAACCATTCTTTTTATTTCACTTTCATCATCTGCCCAATTATCATCCATCCTACTCCCCCCAATTCCCTCCCTTTCCCATGAGCAGAGAGAATCAGTCAGTCATGAGAGCAGCTCTGTTGTTGAGGTTTAGGACTGAAAACCATAGACTGTAAATATTACTGAAAACACACTTTTTGCACTTACCACTGCACCACCATGCGGCCCTCTATCACTAATATCAAATTAAACAAGTTGAAAAATATCAACACTTAGGCAATGATTAGGATTTTGTACTAAACTCTAAAAATGTCAAATAAGGGATCAGATCAGGGATCTTTTTTTTCGCTGGACTAGAATACTACAGTGAACAACATTTGAGTTTGGGGAGGAATTTCTCAAAATTGGATAGCTGGAGATAAAAAAAAGGATACCAAGAGGAGGTGCAAATGCCCATGTCTACAGAGCAGACACAATTCTGTATGTTTTTGCATGTATATCAAATACTTTAACTCAGGGTTTTATATGATAACTTGTGGAAAAACATATTTTTTTGCGCCTGGAAACAATTGAGCCAAAAACAACCCCTCAAAATACCCAGTGGCTTTGAATGTGCTCAGTGTAAACTTGGATAAGGAAAACGATTTTTCATTGTCTTCTCCACAGATAAACTTTGCTGCTAAATTTGACTCTTTGGGTTTATCTTTTCAGTGTTGTTTTATCCTGCTTATCACAGACATGTACACGTAAAAAAGGGTTGCGCAATGCAGGAAGTCCACAGTCAACATTTGACAGTTGAACGGAGAGAGATATGGAATTCTTTGTGGATGTAAGATACAGTAGGGAAGAAGATAGCGGTTGACCATTTTTAGCATATCAATTCGACAACAAACACAAAGTCTCAATAGATATTGTTAGACTATTATGTTTGAGAGCGATGTGAAAAAGGAATGGATGATTTTGTAGTGTGTCGAACTACACATTTTTCTGACTAAACCTTTTCATGGCACAAATTTTAATATTAAGTGTTAGCAATGTAAGTGCACACCATGCTATGTGCTTTAAGATTATATAGCCTACTCATTCCACTTGTTCTTCTTTTACATTCAATTACTTCTTAAAAAGAGATATTTATCAAGTCGTCAAAGTAACTGCCAATAAGACTGATAATAGACCGTCATTTGTTAAATGTCATATATGTAACTGATGGACAGGATGACAGTGAGCCATCTGATAAGCCGTATTTATCAGCAGCCAGCCAGCTTTATGGATGGCAAACATGACCGCAAGGATCAGAGAGGTCCATTTGCGAGGGTTTTTAAGAAAGTTGCGTGGGAGGCTGACTTCTCCTATCAGTCTAACGGAGGGGGGTTAAAGTTAGATAGGCATGGAAGAGCCCCCTAGGATTATTTATGGATAGACGGGTAGACTGACATAGATAAGTGAAGATAACATCGACACCAGAATATGCTTTTATCAGTTCAACTGTGGAATAACTTTCAATTCAGAAGTCAGTTTCAAAATTGGGTAAATGAACAAAGACTGTCAGTAAGACACTTAAAGGACCCTCTTATACATTCTGTCACACATTAAAAAGCTTAAAGCTATACATCTGAATGTTCTGAGACTGTTATCACCACTATTGGTTACTTGTACATGCCTTTAAAGAGTGTTCTGTTGTGTAGGTACACATTTAAATGTATTTGTACAATAGAAGAATATTTAGTGATGGCTTGCTGCTTATAGTCCTGTACTGTTCTTATACTGTCCTTGTTTTATATGTCATAATGTTGGAAGATTTATACATATTTTGTATAATTTATGCACTCACTGTTGTTATTATTACTTTCATTATTCTGCCTTGTGAATGCTCTACAAACTCCTAATGTTTTTTTAAATTAATTCTCCCTCTCAATCTCATGTAATGTCCTTCCTGTTCTTCTTATTTGTTAAAATCGAAATCAAACACAACTAATTCACTAAAATACTCCACAGAGTTTAGAATTTATTTTTCATTATAATATTAAGCTTTTAATATAAAACATATAATCTTGATGAATGCAAAAGGAATCATAAATCCAGTGCTGTTAATTGCACTTTATTTTAAATAGAGTAAAATAGTCAAATAAAGAGTAGACTAATACAAAAGTAATGCCACTCAAGCATCACTAATGGACCTCCATGTTATGTGTTGGTGAGTATGTCGGCAGAGATCCAGTCCTCTGCCTGGATTTTTTTTACGTTTTGGTTTGTTTTGGTTGACACGCAGGACGTTTCTGGGCCGGGCGCTGGTGTGTTTCCCTCAGCCAATGAGAATGTGCTGGTGAATCTGAGAGGTTATAATTCAGAAATAGGATGTGATTCAAACCGGCAAATATGATGGAAGTGGATATAGAGGCCAAGAAGAGAATACATAACGATAGTGAGGCGAGACGTCAAGCAGACAAAGCTTGTTCCAAAATGAGGGTGAACCTTGTGTTGGCTTTCTTATTTCTGTTAGCTTGTGTTAGCTAGCAGTAGCTTGCAATGTAGGTACGAGCAGTAAACATACACATGACATCCAGCAGTGAGAGTGCACTTCTAGGGCCAATTAGCCCAGTTTGACTGTTAACAAGCTGCAATGAACAATGCTACAGACTTTACCTTTAATAGATTTGTCTTATTTTGTGTTGGTTTATTTTTTTTTTTTGTGATAGGACGGGAATATCACAATTAAACTGTGGTACACTATATATAAGCTCAGAGACTGAACATTTCAGTGTGAATTCTCACTCGATTGAAGAAGAGGTCTGAGTTTGATAATGCCGTAATTTTTTAATGCAAATGTAGGTTAAAATAAATATATATAAGGGACTGCTCTAGAATTCCCTATGAGAAAGTTCAATTTAATCCGGTTTGTGTATTTGATGTTGCCTCCAATTGAAACTTTAACATCCTAATATTGTTCCTGGTTGCTTATGAACACGTTTTTCCATTGCACTTCACTTAATCCACAGAGTGACTTTTATATAATTTTTCAACCCATTTGCAGTATGGAAAACATTGACTGAATACATACCAGTAAAATCCATTGATATTATAAGGTTATAAAAATCAAACCTTTATGGATTGTGATGTTCCTGAGACACTTTTTGTGTGTCTCAGGAACATTAATGTCTATTAATTATTGAAAGTGTTCAGTCATGTAATCTCGTCACCTAGCTTGACTTCCCCCCCAAGAGGATCCAAGAAGAACCACAAAGGAGAAGCTACAATACAATAAGTAGAGAGTGTAAAGTTGCTTAGAAATCATTATTAAACTGAGAAATTATTATTGTGATTTGTGACCGCTGTGCATTTTCATGCAATGATGAGGTCACAGATATCTGCAATAAGGAAATACTGAGTCAAAAATCTCCTCCTATCTACCAGATAGATCACTCCATTTCCCATGCACTATACAGTTTACTGGGAAACTCACACAAGAAGTAGTGCCTTCTTCAACACAGAGCTCTTCATTAGCTGCCACTATTCAGACTCTATCAACTGTCCTATCTCTGTAATAAAGGCATACAAAGCCTGATGCTGGAATTTATGTGAAATGCACTTCCATAGAGAGCCACTGTCACGGGTGTGGGAAAACAAGGAGGTGGACCCAAGTGCCGAATAAACTAATAAAACTATTTATTTAAACAAAAAGGCAAAAACTTAAAACTTACAATGAAAATTTCCATACTGAAAAATCCCAAAAAGGGTCAAAACAGGAAGCCATGAGGAATCAATAGGGAGCACGAGGAAAACTAACATCTGACACACTAAAGATTAAACTGTGAAACATTAGGACAAAAACATACAAGGGAAAACAAGCAACACTAAGATAAAGAACAACAAGGAAACCTGAACTTTGAAATAGACAAAATACAAACTAAAGACTGAGGGAGCAAAAATCATCTTTACACCAAGGTGGATTCTGCATATTACTTTCATTGCTACTGTTAGTGTGTAAAGTCTAATATTTATTTTTACTGTTCTTTGAGTTAAGCCATTGTGTAGTAGCATATGAAATAGTGACAATCACCAAAGTGTAGATCAAAATACAAACAGAATAGATAGGGCCCTCCTGCTTTTTGCTGATAATTCATGTAAATTCAAAAGAATAGAGCTACCCAGGTGACCCAGGTTCACCTTTTTAACCAGTTCTGCCCTGGTATACAGTAGTCTCAATTTCAAAGGCAAGCCCCACCACCTGAGCCAATTAGGAGCCAGGGAGCTGTATCCTTCTCTGTTTTCTATCAGGCCGGGGTGGGGTTACCATTTGCATATAACCTCAGTCTCTTATCCTAATGTGCCGGCGCTCTGCATACAAATGGAGGCATTTATTTTTTGCCGCTCCTTGGCCTTCACCCTTCAAATGCTCATCTGACAGGAATCCCAATGTTCCCAGCTCGCGCTGTCTCTGACTCTGTATTCAGCTCTCTCATTTGGAAAGCGTTAAGAGCCGTGGTGTTCCTGCAAACAGCCTGCTGCAAAGCGCTGTGCGAGTGCGGCTTAGCTGACAAAGTGTTATTCAGCAGGGATGATCTGACTCCAATTTAATTGGTTAGTGGCTAAGGTTGGAGGCCTACAGGTCTCAATATTTACTATATTACTCGCTAAGGAGAAGTGCATCTTGGCACTGGTTGATTTTGCAACGCTAGGGAGGTCAAAAGGGCGATTTCACAGCCTTGAAGAAAAATCCTCTTGTTCAACATCTCTGTTTCTTAACTTTTGACGAAACCATGAGGAACAGCATGTACGTGATACAGGCACTATTAGTTCAACTTTTGAGGACGCAACTCAACAGGAACATCTTTTCAGACGATGTGAACACGCTGCTCATACATGCTCCTTCACACATTCCTGCACCACCATGTGGCTGAGTGGCTTACACACACAAGCTTTTTATTTGCCTCACACTCTCGGACCTGGCTGTGTGGCAGGTAGCTGTGGCAGCCTTTAACGTTAAAGAAGTAATTTATGAGGGAGTCTCACCATTACGCCCAGACGGTCACAGGGGTGAAGGGCCGGGTAGGAAGAAACTGAATCCATGTAGTAACTCATCAGTGACGCTGTGGACAGGAGACGCAGGGCCTGCTGAAGGGATCAACACACAAACAGACGAGGCAGGGTGGAGTGACCTATCTATCACTCACTGTTTACACTCTTTCTGTGCGAGTGTGTGGTATGCACTGTGTGTGTGTTTGCATGTGTGTAGGTGTATATGTAGATGTTTGAGAGAAGAGAGAGAGAGAGAGAGAGAGGAGAGGGGGAGAGAGAAGGAGTGGGGGACATATTTCAAAATCAGCACCACGGTATAGAAGAGTGAAAACTGTGGTTTGGTGCTTTTAAAAAAAACACAATATCATGTCATCACATGGAGTGTTTGTTTGATTTGCATTAAAGAGCTTACAGGAGTATTTCTTGAATGTTAACACAACCAGTTTTGTCTTGCGGAACAAGAAGATTTCACCTGAAGCTGAAGGAAATCCTTCTATCCAGATGCTTGTCAAGCTAACATTCCCATCACTTCTCTCAACATATCGTTTTCTTTTATACAGAACAGCCTCCTCCTCTCATCTGCCTCCCCTCTTCCTCCTCCACTTATCCTTCCTCTTCCTAGCCTTCCTCCGCTCTTACACACTTTACTTATCACTTAACATTGTTTACTTTGGGCAGCTTTAAAAAAAAAAGAGACATCGGACTAACTTGAGGGTTACATAAGACGAGGAATGGTGTACACGGGCAGTGACAGGTCTCATCCTCCTCACATTCATGTGATAAGCAATTTGGCATATCTAGTTTGTAGCAGCTGCTGACAGAGCCAGGGGGGAGACGCGCCTGCGTTCAATGCCTGCAGATGTTCATCACCTCAATAAGATTCCTATGATTTTGTTTCAGCAGAAATACCCAAACACAAATGGAATAATGAGCAAATCTGTGCTGTCATTCAAATGCATGCACGACCTTTCAACTTCCCAAAATGTCATCGATAGTTAAAGTGAGAAATAAAAGAGCAGAGCTTAAAGCCCTATAATTACGTATCTAAAAAGAGATCATAGACATCAATGTCATTTCAGTTTTCTATTTGAAAGTAGTTTTAAGCAGCCTGCGATGTAAAATATAATTAAAATACAGGAGTAAAGTTGATTATTAAAATAATTGAAACATTCGCTCAACTTTGCAGTTATTTCTTCATGTTTTTAAAGCTCCCGCATGGTCACTAACAAATAAGCCGTAATCCAGGTCTGAGCAGCGCATCTCAATTAAAAAAAAAGTGCGCTGCACGCTGTATGAAAATTCCCAACGGAGGAAAAAAATATGCAACTTTAGAGCCGACACTTTCCCTCTGATTCATTAAAGGACCGATAGCACCGCTCATATCACACATCTATCCTTCTATCATGTTGTTAATAGTTGATATAAATATAACTTTGCACTTACGGAACGTAGAGTTGTGAAGTTTTGCTGTGAAGAATGGACGCGCTGATCCAGCTGAGTGTGACAGCTGAGCGGTGCTGGACTGCAGAGATGCTGTACCTGCTCGCAGCGAGTCCCAACAGAGGAAGGAATAATATGCTTCACTTTTAGTCCCTCCCTCAATCATACGGTGATCCTCTCCAAATTCATTTTTTTCCCTCTGTAAAGTCTTTTGGAGTACACATGGAGAGGTGGTCCACATGCAGCCTCAGTGCAGGTGTGAGCTTGTGGAGAGTCTGAAATGGTCAAGAGTGGGTCTTTGGTTGACCTAATTTTCCCCCAGTCTAACAGCTGTCTAACTCCACTTTACTGTAAGTGCAAAATAAATCAATTTGAAAAGTAGTTCAAAAAAATATGGTAGACATGTAAATTACTGCTTATCATTTGGAGACATTGCTCCAAAATCCAACTTTTTAATTGCCCCCCTATAGGTAGAAAATAGAAGATAAAAGGCAGGAAAACATCACATGGAGGGAGGGTGTGAGGATAATGACAACAATCTTCCTATGGTGTTGTCAGCTTAAAAAAAAAACATGATTTGTTCTCAAACAAACCTATTTTTTTAACTTGCTGTGAAATCTATCTATAATGTATCTGCATTATGAACCTCTGAAATCTGACATCCTGAAAATATCTGTCTTCATTTTTTTTCCAGTCTTGCAGCATTGAACCTAAGAAGCCTCTTGAATATTTCTTTACTGTAAATCACCGACTATCATATCATTCTTCACCTGGTGCCTCCTGAGCCTGCAGCCAGCAGCAGATGCATGTGTAGCGCTGATTAAAAGCAATGACAGAAACGTTGACTGCTCTTCTGCGAAATGACAAGTCTCCCCCTGTACATTACAAGATCTAAATCCTCCTGTGCTGACTGGCGTTAGTGATAACCAGGTAAGGGTGTGAAGCGTTATCGATTAACGATTTATGTGTATATTTTTTATATATTTTTTTCCTGCATTGTGAGATCACAAGCTTTCCACTGCATTGCTACCTATACAGCATAACGTGCAGTCTCTCTCTCTCTATCCCTAACTCTCTCTCTCTATCAGCTTAACACTCAACACTTGCAAGTCATCTGAAACACCTTGTGACTCCATGATAATTCCGTGACCCTGGTGCAGCATTTGTTTGAATTAGAAAGTGCACGGTTCAAACCTTCTGACAGCCGCTGCTCTTAACAGTAAATCTTAAAAGTCTTGGGGCGTAGAGGTGTGTGTGTGTCTGTGTGTATGTATGTGTATGTAGGAGAAGAGCTGAGGGGTAAGAAAGGGGTGGTGGGGGGGGGGGTCAAGTCCAAGGTGAGAGGCGTGAAGAAGTACCATAAGGGGCTCAGTGGCAGGGAGCCTGCATTTTGTCAAGACCTCTTCTGAAGCCCTCATGGGGCCTCAGCATCGCCGAGGCCCTCAGGGGACACAGATGGGCAACACGTCGAGGGCAAAAGGGGAGGGTATGACTTATTGCCATGTGGACAGAAAAGCCTGGGACGTGCCCCCTCTGGATGAGACCAAAATTGAATATGAGCGAGGACGAATGCGATCCAGATCTTCAGCTGATGCCCCGCCAATGCTGTTTCAATTAGCCGGCTCGCCAGTTCAAAGGCGAGGGCCCTCAATACACTTCTGCTCCGCATGAAGCTGCTATCATCACATCACCCCCCCCCCCCCCACCTTTCCTTACACCTCTCCATTTTAGGTGCCACCTTTTTCCGATCAGTGCCTCCATCTCTGGAGCTGGTTGTGCTTATGTTTTGCATTAAACAGATAGTGAACGCCCTGCCATCACCACCTATAAAAACCATCAGTCAAAAGACCTGCAGTGCTTTATGGCTTTCACCATCACTTCCTCACTACATTCTGACAGTGCATACATATCGGCTTTGATTTACAGTGAGATGAGTCCAATTTTTACCTGACTATTTTTAAATAAAATAACAAAAGGCTTAATTTGCGGTGAATTATCCTCCATAGCTGTTATCACACATGCACTCGTCTCCTGAGTTATTTATTCCCATGTCGCTCACAGTATGATTTTCTTTTCTAGTCAGACAAGGAGGGTCATAAAAAAGACATTGCAGAAATCCAAGATGGTGGATCCAGCAACAGTCTGACACTAATGATGGTTTTTGCCTTTACATGAATGCTACATGTTAATGTACTGTATGTATTTGCAGAATCAACAAATGAGTGGAAATTAACAAATTAGCAATCAGAAAAAAAAGTCAGATGAAGCTTAATTTCATGCACAATGATCTCACTGGTCGCGCCCTGATTGTGTGACATAAACTTCATCATCACTGCCTGCTTGCTTGTGGTCACTTTTCTGACATACTTCCTCCAGCGTCCACACATCATCTTGATTGGGCTACACACAGAAATTGTCTTTATCAGTCAGGGAATCTGTAGCTGTTAATGGATGTACCATCAGTTCATTGAATAAGTGGAGGAGGAGAGACACAAAGGATAGGATGAGCTACCATTGGCAGTCACTAGCAGATGAAAGTCTGGTGTGGCAACTGGTTTCAACTGTAGACTGCAAATAGTTATACACAGTCTATGGTTATGCCTTGTATCTCAGTCCAGTTTTGTCCTTTTAAGATGAAAAGCCATCATATTTTTCATTGAATTTTGACTTGGTATCCAGACAGTTCATAAAACCTGAGTTAAATTACAGTATGAGAAGATAAATATGTTTCTTTATTATTTAGATGCCAAAAGCAAATCAAGTTGTAATGGTTTGAAGGCACAACTGCTTTGCCAGAATTTACACGACTTCCTTAAATCTAATGTTCATTTGTAATCCAATTACGTCTGTTCTCGTCCTTTGTGATAATTGTTGCAAGAAAGCTTAAAAAAAACACCTCCAGTAAAAACCAAGCCCAGTTAAACAGTTAAATTCATTTGAGAATGAATAGTGCTTTTCTAATCTTCTGACTAAGCGCCACAGATCACACCTACCCATCGGAAGTAACTAATCCCATTCATACACATTCACATGCCGCCTACGAAGCAGCAGGAGCAACTTGGGGTAAAGTGTCTTGCCTAGGGGAACATTGGACATGTGGCAGTAGGAGCTGGGAATTAAACCCCCGACCTTCTGGTTGAGAGACGACCAACTCTTCTTCTGAGCGATAGCAGCCCAATTACAGAAACAAATAATTGTTTGATTGAAAAGATACAGATACAGAAGATGAAGTCTCTGCACACCCCTAGTTTGTTCAAACATGCAGCTCACCCAAAAAATGTGGAGAAGTTTTGTGCATGTGTGAACACACCACATGACTGGTTGTGCTTGATTTAACATTGCTCACCTTAAAACCTGAAATCAGGAATCACAAATCTGTACCATATGACATAAACTGTGATATGTGACGCAAAGTTTAAGTGACAAGTTAATTCTCTACCTAAAAAGATACAGGCTCTGGAGTTATGAAGGGCTCACAGTCTTGTACTTGCTAACAGTTCAAAAGTGACAATCCAACCATGTGGCACTGCAGAAAAATGCAGAAGTGAAATGACTTTGTTTAAAAGTTTTTTCAGTCTGTCCAAATCTTGCAAACCTCAAACTTAAAGAACTAAACATAATGTTTGGACTGAGACAAACAAACGTTTTGTACATTAAACTATAATCATAACAGAAGGGACAGTCGTCTAGTCCTATTGTCAGCTTTAGCTTGGAATATTGATCATTTCTGTCAGCAAATTATTTATTCAATCCAGCACAGCAAACCCAGACTGCTCTCTGTCCTCTGCTGCTTTTCTGTGTCTGTGTGAGCAGCTCCAGACTCTGAATCCTTTTGTCTCATTTTCTCATTTTGGATCTTCCAAAGATAGCGCTGACAGGTGATATTAATGGTCTTTTATTAGCATCGTGCTGATTGCCACAGATTTTTTGGAAGCGAGGGATAAGAAGTAAAGAGCAGGACAGCGGAAACGAAAAAAAAAAAAAGAAATAGAGAAAGAGAATTTGGAAGTCCTCCGCCCACTGCTTCTCACAGGAGATCGCCTCTCTCTTTGATAGCCTGCCCGAATCTGTTCCCCCCATAGAAACTGCCCTGCAGATGTTGTTGCTGTATGCCGACTACAAAGAAGGAGCCCTTTATGAGAAGAACATCTATTTTGGGCCTCAGTGTTTCCGAGCCGCGGCGCTCAGCAAGTGAAGCACAGGCCTAATCTTTCTTTCGCTGAAAACTCTGTTTTATTCCCTGCCCGTTATATTTTTAGATTAAAGGCCCATTCTAATGAATAAAGTGAGGATGTAATATTTTATGACAGTATCAATATGCCATCACTGTGGTGGGCTTGAGCCTTAAAATATCTCCATTGCTATTGGCAGAAGCAGAAGAGAAAGTGGGGAAATATGGGGCAGTGAAACAAAGAGCTGGGAGAAACCTCTGTATCAGGCCTGACTAGATTCATTTACAAGTGTTTGTGGTTAAAACTCTCACCCTCACCAACAGAGCTGTGACTTTGTTGCACTCTTGACTGGGGGGGCAAAGGTTCTGGGGGCAATATTAGCTCTTGATATTATCTTTAATTAAAGCATGAATCCCCTCAGCCAAGTTGTCCAAACAGTCCTAAATAGGCCCTGTAAATCAGACAAACATCCTCAATATTTGATGGGTCGAGAGTGTGCACTATAGCCTCCAGATGGTTTGTGTTTCTCGAGTGTTTCACAAGGGATGGTACTGGACAGCGATCTTCTGTCCGAGTGTGCCTCTTGACAGAACGAGTTCCTGCAAGCCTCACGCTGAGTCGTTTGGATTTGTGCCTAGGTCGCTCTCTCTCCCTTTTCTTTTCTGTCCTCTCACTGTGTGGGTTTATCTCAAGGCTTTGTGTGTACTGAAGCTTTCCTCAGTCAATGTTATATTTAATTAATGGCATGCCGAACGACAAAATAAATCTGCTGTTGAAAACTCTGCATTTTTCAATTTATAAGCCAGTCCAGCACACAACACAGAGTGCAGTGAGAGATCATGGATTTGCATGGATTTTATGTCATACTTCACAGAGTAAGAGATCAAGTGTCATTCCCAAACCTTATACCATCTTTAATAAGTGTAAACTTAACCTTGCTTGGCTAAATAACACCTCCCTTCGATGAAAGACAAAAAAAAGATGAGTGCAGTAAGATGAAAGGAAAAAGCAAGACATAGAGGGAGGGAGTGAAAAAGATGCTGAGTTCAACATGCACCG